AGAGGAGGAGATGCTGATCTCTTCTCCCTGGTGACTGGGAGTAGGACATTAGGAGATAGAATGACACTGGTTCAGGGGAAGTTTACATTGAGCATTAGCAAAAGGTTTTTAACTGGAACAGGCTCCCCAGGGAAGTGTCACAGCACCAAGCCTGTCAGAGCTCAAGGAGGATCTGGACAAAGCTCTTGGTCGTATGGATTAGTTGTGAGAAGCAGGGAGTTGGACTCCATGATCCACATGGGTCCCTTCCAACTTGAGGTATTCTATGGCTCTATGATTCTATACTTACCTTTTGTGGAAGTTTTAACCCTCTCAGTTCAGTGCATACAGAGATAAATATAATAAAAGGATTGCGTAAATCTGCTTCAATATAGCACTTTCTTTTGTAAACGAAATATTTGGCCTCTCCTGAACTGAGAGTAATTTGGTAACTCATCTTGTGTAAGCCCACAACAAAAATCTGTCTAGGTTGTTGTTCTGAGAGTAGTGGTTGTGTAGGAAAGAGTGTATGAGGCAGGCATGTAAATACACTTCTCCTGTGCGGCCTCCACAGCCTGCTCCTGGTCTTCAGGTTGTGATTTTGAGTATAAGAATCCTTAATGGATTTTTCTTCTACTTTGTGAATCCTGCATAAACTTCTGGCATCCACAGTATTACATGGAAAGCAATTCTGCACTTAAGTTTGGTTTATAACAAGGAAGTATATACTGTCATTTATTTTCAGTGTGTGACTTCATAATTTATTTGATGCCCCTATTAGGAAAGACCAGTTGTTTCTTACTCGGTTTCCCGTGGTCACACCATTTCATAGGTCACACCATTTCTCTGTCCTGTCTCTCATCAGTTGTCCATTTTTGAGGATAAAGGGTCCTATTTATTTATTCATTCTTCACACAGTTGTTGTTCCATAGCTTTAATCTTCTTTGTCATGTCTTTGAATCTTATATGGTTTTTCTGTGTCCAGTTTGTAACACGGGAACCAAAATGCCATGTGAGGCACAACAAGGACTTAGGTAGTGGCACAGTGTTCCATTCTTTGCCAATTCTAATATTTGAATTGCTTTTCTTGACAGCTGCTGGACATTACCTACTCATTGCAACTTCAGAAGCACTTCCCTAAACAGCGATAACTTGTTCAGAGCACATTCTTTTGTTTATGTGCAGTTAGGGTTGCCTTTTTCCTCCCATGTTCATTACTTTGCCGTTTGTTATACGTAGGTTTGTGCATTAGTAAGATTTAATGCACTGAAAGAATGCTCACTTTTCTAAAAAAGGCCAGCATATTCTATAGTCATCATTCATAATGTCATTTATATACTTACAGTGGTAAATTTTCCAACATCTTGTCTGAAGAGTATGCTAACATTTTGATTGATGCTTTCTGAGCTTCTTGCATATATTTTTCAGAATTGATGACATCGGCCTTCTGAAAATCAGGTGTCTTGAAGATGCAATTAGCTATTGAAAATTTTTTAGGATTTTTCATCGTCATTTGAAATACATATGTGTGTAGAAAGAATATATGATAATAAAACTAAAAGAACTAAGCTGAAGTTTCCATAAGGGGCAAAGGGCCAGGCTTCTAAAGTATTTAGATAATAAACTACTTTTGTGGGTAGTGAGAGTTGGCCGCCTCAATTCCTTTAAAAATGTGATCTTGAAACCATTTTTCAGGCTGTCAAGACTAAGGATTTCTTGAACTGTGCCATAAACTCCAAAATCACTTACCAAGGACAACATTTTCTGAAAGACTTAGTTTTTTTTATTGAGATATAAAAGCTATTTGAATACTATTTAGTGACCTAGAACTCCAACCAAAACGCTAAAATCTTTACTTAAGTTCATTTTACCATTAAATATTTGAAAATAAATATTTGAATGAAAGGTCACTGCTTTCTTAACCAATAAAAGTTCTATCATTTCCCCAGAGCCTACTTAAAAAAGAAATATAGCAGCTGGTGAGGCTCTGAAACTGGGCTTCAGAAAACAGTGGATTCTGTTTGACAATAATAAAATTCATGGCAAAGTACATGGGATTTTTCTTTCAAGGTAAAAACAAAGCTTTAGTATTTCATTAGCCAGTGATATACTGGTGATCAAATTACAAAAAAAATAAATTGTCTAGCCTCTTTGCACAAGCAAAAGCATCACATTTTTATATTTAAGTCTATCAGGAGGGTACACAGGCATAAGAAAGCAGACTTGATTACAGAGCTCAATGAAAGGCGTCTGTCCTTTGGCTGCTTAATTAGTTCACAGAGCTGTTGTTAGTGCCCAGTCAACCATAACAGAAAAAAAGAAGAAAAAAGCTCCCCAGGAATCTAGAATAAATGCAGAAAAAAGCTGCTTAGATGCTATGGGAGTGAGAGTTTTATCTTAAAAAGGAAACAAAAAAGAATGTGACTTCTTCAGTCTGCCAAACCGGAAGAGGGATCCCTGTAAAATTCATATGGCAAGGAAGAAGACTGCCCAGGCATTTTGCATTTCATCTGTGCTAGAAAAGCTGAAGAATGAAGACAGAGGCAGAAACTTAGCAGATGGGCTGAAGAGAAGGAGGAAGTAGGTAGATGGAGGGGGAGGAATATCGAAGTTTAAGGTACAAGTCATATGATAAGAAGAAAAGAACTCATATCGGGCAATATTTTTATTTATCTTAGTTCTGTTATCTGATGTTTATGTAATGTAACAAACTGACACTGCTGTAAGTATCCTTGTAGAGAGCATTCAAAAAAGCACCAGTCTGTTTTCCGTGGCTGATATATGTGATGAAAGTTGACCTATACTGTCTGGGAAGCAATGCACTTGTCTGAATAGTAGACAGTACATACATTTCTTTGACACAGGACAAGTGCTTGCAGTGGGTGAATTAACATGACTGACAGAGTTCTGTTTATACCATCTCAAAATGAGGTAGTTTATCCATTTCTCTTCAAGAAATTTTGCTGAAAGATAATATTTCATTAAACAACTTCAAACTCTGATAAAAGCATTTCTTTGCTTAGGAGTTTGGTTTTGTTAACTGGACAAAATCAGGGTTTTAAAAAATTATTTTATCTTCTTGAATCTTATTTTAAGTCTCATGCATGGCATTCTAAGGATATTTTGCAAAATATATCTAAAAATACAATCTTTCATACTGTTTATTTGAAGTATTTTAAATAATTTATTTTGTGTAATGCTATGGATTCACAGCTCAGCAATCAGAAATATATTGCTATGTTAAACCTTAAAATTAGAAATGCAGGCTCACCTAATTTTGTCTTTAGACCAAGTCTTCATATTGTAGTTTTGAGACTGTTTAAAAAGCAAGGTTCTGGTTTTTTGACCTGCCAGATGTCTTTCATTGTGCTTAAGAAAGTAGATGGCAAAGCTGAGTATTATCTCTTTAGTCCAACTGTTTTATATCCTAATTGTCTGTAGCATACAGCAAAACTTATGACAGAATAATACATAACACAATGACATTGAGAAGTAAGCAGTAATAATCTTTAAACTGTTTTGTATTTGCTAAGGGCATCCCATGTGTGAAGATTTGTCTTCCAGAAGAGATTTTATTATGGTTATTTATGAAGTTTCTTTTGTTTTTATAGGAGTTTGATGGCTTTTTTAAGGTCAACTTCAGTGCTTCTTGATCTAACATGAACTGAGTCCTCCCTAATCTGTGTATGCATGCTCAAAACAAGTAGCCCCTTTTATAGCCTTATTAATCTGTGAATATTACACAAGTCTGATGTAGACAGGAAAGTCGGGTGTGCGCAAATGTGCTTATTGCAGAAAAAACAATTCCAAGTGTGAAGCCGAGTAATAAAATAGAAACTTTGCAGACCTCCATAAAAAAATAGAGAAATTGTGTCCTAGCATTTCTGTTCCAAACCTTCTGTTGTTATTTCCATTGGATGAATATTTGCCCCATTGTGTTGTGTGGAATTTACTCTTTTTAGAAATCTCTTGTTCTGCTTCCTATTGGCTCTCACATAGCCATATCGTGCATTCTCTTTTTAATTTCAGGGGCAAAAATCTGTCAGCTGTGTGTTTCAGATTCCTTAAACTGATTGAAAACTATCTCTTGAAAGATGCTACAAAATCAACATTGGTTTCTCTCCATCTTCTGTTGTCTCTTCTAGTGTGATTATAGTTGCCTTCTGGTAGTCATTGATAAAGTGTTATCAGTTGATACAATTAATATAAAACTCTTAAATTTTATGTCTCGAACTCCTGTTTTATTTATGAAAGCTGCTATGCAAGTTGTTTTGGATGCTTCTGGAGTGTCTGTCTGGCTCCCTTCTGGTTTCAGTAACAAACTGGTCTCCTGATCATCTCTGCTCAGTGCACATTTGTTTTTTTTTTTTCTGAGCTCCCTCCTATAAAGAGCTTCAGGTTTCTTTTTGGGAGGGAATTTGTGCATAGTTGACACTTCAGTTTTCCATAGTATCTGAATATCAGGCCACATCATATAGAACTCTACTAAAGATAGTATAAAGACATGTTCACACTGTGTCAGGCCATAGAAGTGGCTTGCTGGCCAGATGTGGATCTTTGTGAAAATAGTCAGCTCAGTCCAGAGAGACAGCTCACAGCATGTGAATACATCAGAACCTGGGACTTCGTCCCTGTAGTGATCTAAGAGAGTTAGCAGTAGTAGCATTGACTATGGAGATCTTTCAATCCTGTATTCCTAACTGGCAAAAGATACAGGCAATTATATGTCCAAATTTAGCAATTCTTAATACAGGTATATGAGATCACGTACAATACCTGTGTACAGAATGAGTCCAGTTATCCAGACTTAGCTGTGACATTTTCCACTGGTAAAATGTAGTTCAAATTCTGATTTAAATACATCCATTGAATCATAGCACAGATCTTTGCACTTATATACAACAAATTGTTTATCCAATACATAAAAATAAATGGATGATACTGCATTGTTTTCCAGTAGAATTCTAAAAATTACCTCGTGCATATGCAATGTACGTAACTTAGTTTACTGTTTCATTAAGGTCTTGGCATTGACAACAGGACATCTTTACCACAGAGCAATTCTTCTCCATGGGATGATACACTTTTCAATATATCCATGCATGCAGCAATACGACATGGAAAATGGAAGTTACTAACTGGATATCCAGGTAATGAAATAACTCTTTTTTGTACAGTGTGGCCTGTCTCTCATCTGCCACAAACAGTTTAATTCTGTTTCATATGTTTTAATTTATTAGTAATTCTGCTAACTTCTTAGGTTTTTGACCACATGCAAAAATCTGGAATGAGCGCTTCTGAAATCCAAACAATATACTTTTTCATTTTCAAATATTTTGTCTACAGATTACTGTAACTCTAGTGGAAAAACTGTCATAGAATATCTCAAGTTGGAAGGGACCAGTAACAATCATAGAATCCAAGAAGAAATTAATTGATGTGAAATAAAGTAACACAGAATTTTGAATCCCAGTGCTGCAGCTTTTTTTCTGCATAAATAGGACTCCTTTATAGGTAGCCTTGGACTTGAGAGGCTCTGGTGCAGGGCTAGAGTTAAGGAGTGCAGCAACAGTCCCTGCCCAGGGACTTGTCAAGAGACAAGTCATTACAGCATAGCTCTATGTCTCCACACTGCTGCTCCATGTCTGAGAAATGACCCTTGGTCTGTTTCTGTTTCTTCAGGCTGTGGTCATTGGTTCCCTCCACCATCTTTGTTCAGTGAGTCTGAGATTCAGTCATCTGATCCATCAATGAAGAGACTTTGGTTGTTTGATATTGTTCATGATCCTGAAGAGAGAAATGATTTGTCTGAAAAACATCCTGATGTGGTGGAAAAACTGCTCTCACGGCTTCAGTATTATCATAAACGTTCAGTGCCTGTGTTCTACCCTGATGAGGATCCCCGCTGTGATCCAGCAGCAACTGCAGCTTGGGGTCCTTGGGCATAGTGCAGCTTTGCATCCTGCAAAAAACAAACCCTAGTAGAGTCTGTATATGGACTCAGAGTCCTAGTTAAGCATATCTTACTTTCTTTAATGACCTATTGCTAATTGTGAACTTATCCCTTGAGTAATTTAGTATTTCTTACTCTTCATGGGTTTGGAATTTTTTCAGTCTTTTCTCACACTCTTGTTCCCAAAAATTGTATGTGAAATGTTAGTAAAAGTATAAATCTATTTTTTTTTATATATTCTTTGTCTGGAATATGCTTTTAATGCAGAAGATAAAACATTGCCTCCTTCCTTGAAAGAGATTACTTTTCTTTAAAAGCTGAAAGTAATCATGGCAGCAGGGACATCCAGAATGCATCCATCTGATTTTTGGTTTCATGTGTAACAGCTTCTCCTGGAAGCTGTTACACTGTAAAGACTAGAAAAATATAATACAAGAGTTGGCATAACATCACATTTTGAGCTTCCCTGTACAAGAGGAGTATTGCCCAACTGGAATGAGTTCAGTGGAGAACCATGAATATGATCACAGGGAAGACAGCAAGCAAGGGGAGGCTAAAGAAATGGGTTCATTTACACTACACTGAAGAAGAAAAGGGAGGTTGCTATCTTCAGCTATCTAATGTGAGGGCATAGAAAAGAGGAAGCCAGACTGTCCTCAGAGGTGCACAAAGATGAAAAACACACAGGGAACATCTGGAGTTCCAATGCAAAGAAGAAAATTAAAAAAAAAACCATACCATGAGTTTAGTCAAATAAGGGAACTGTGAGACTATGGCAGCCCTATTCCTGGAGATGTTCAGTCTTTGGTTGGAGAAGATTCTGAACTACATGATCTATCCCTGAAGTTGGATCAAATTTGAAGTTGACTCTGCTTTGTTAGAGGTGGTGAGGAACAAATGGGTGACCTCGAAAGGCCGCTTTCTGCATGAATTATTCAATGATTCTATGATGAACAAAACCTTACTTTTATTGCCTACCTAGTAAGCACCCTTTCTTCTCCTATATTGTTTCTTTATTACCATAGTGGAGTCTATTTTCATTCTGGAGTGGGCTCTGAGCCATAGAGAAAACAGGCCAAGCAACATTTCTCAATTACTTATCAAATTGATGCGAGAGCAACCCACCAGCTCTATTAAGGTCAAACCTTGAATTCTGGTACTGGTTCTTAGTGTCCTTGACCAGGTTTCAGGATGCAGAGCTCAATCTATCATCGTTTCCAGAAAACAGGGATCTAATTGCCTTTTTTCTGGCTCCAGGACCAACTCATAGAATTGCACTAAAATTTTGCACAACTTCTCCCAGTTTTCTCTCAGGAGATTTTGTGCCTTTACCCCTGCAGCTTACTGTCTCCTGTAGCTCTAATCCTTCCTATTGACTGATTGTCAATCCACTATCTTGTGGAAATTGTGTAGACCAAACTTTCAGGCTGGAAGGTGTAAATACAACAGCTTGCCCAAAGTGCTTTTGAAGCATGCCCAGCATGAGCCAGGCTGCTGAGGCTTTCATTCTTCATGGTGTGATACACTGGAGGCCTGCACTGTGATGGAGGAGGAAGGATAAGCACTCTCTTCATCAGCTATGGGAATATTTTGCTTACAGGTGTAGAAGTTACAAGTCAAGAATTGGACAACTTGTGAGTTAGAAACCTCATGAGTTAAGGAACGGATTAGTGAATTGTCCTGCTAGTCTAGTCTGTACAAAGGGGACTGAGCCCTTGTTAGTTTCTTTTCCTAATGAGCTCATAAAATAATTTACAGACTGTGTTGTCCTGTAAATTAGAGAAATCCAATTTGGACCATGACAATCTTGGCCTCAGAGTACAGCAGCATTTCACTTTTGAGCTTTTGAAGATTCTGATAACTGAGGCTCTGTTATTTGCTGACCACATCAAGGGATGGAAAATATAAGCAACAAAACATTTTTATAAGCTGTTCCATGACATTGACAAAGCCTGCACCTTCCTTCAGTAGCTCTAGAAAAACCTTAATTGCAGTTCTCTTTTCTAACTATTGCAGCTTGTCTATTTTATACCGATGTAATGATTAATGCTAGTTTATAGCTTATCTGTTTAGTGCAACTGTTTTATATCCTAATTGTCTGTAGCATACAGTTAGTAACATGAGTTGGAGTATGGGATTCTGAAAGAGTAAGGTGTCAAATTTTGCCTTCTGTGACTTTTAGATTTACTATTTTTGTATGTATCTTAATGATACATGTTGTCCTTCAAATGTCTTTTTGAGATAAATCGTCCAAATAGCAGAGCTTCCATCAGTCCTCATTCATTCAGAAAACGTTGGTTAGTTTATTTTTGCAATCAAATGCAGGTGGAGACGTTGACACCATTCCCCAGTGTGTAAGGCAAGTAGATTCAATGAGTTTATATTATTCTAACTCTTTTTTCATAGGGCATATTCTAACTCTTTTTTCATAGGGCATATTCAAGACTAGAAAGCTAACTGTTCTCAGTCAATATCCACATATAACATTTTAGTTTATAGTAGCCATTACAAGATGTGGTTGCTGCAATAACAAGGGACTGGACTTGGGGTTGGGGGAATTTCTGCCCTACATTCCTGTGTGTCCTTCAGCATTCGGCACTCATATTACATGAGGAAAGATGTTGGCTTACCTACAAAGCAAGAACTTTCGTTAATGATATTTTAATACAGGTATTGCTCTTTTTTTGCTGATATCTAGTTTCGTGGAAAAGAAAGAAACACCAACTAAGTTGTAAAAGCTCAAGTAAATAATATGTTTGAGTCTCCTTGGCTAAAGTTAGAAAACATTAAAAACCGTGTAATTTTTATTTCAGAGGTAAGTAGAGCTTTTATGTGTTCTCTTTTCTCTGTGTCCTACAATCTGCATTTTAGTATCTTGCTGCTATTCTAGTTCATGTAATTAATTTACTAGGAAGAGACTGTGGCACATCACTGTCTTGTATAGGTATTCAATTCACCCTTTGTTTCCTCCTGTTATATTTTAAAATCCAAAGATTCATTATTTTCTCAGCTACAGTATACATCATTATTTATTTTCTGATTTTCCATGGGTGGTCCTTCATAAAACATTTTAATTGAATTGGGTTAGGAAAAAAAAAAACATCTGGCTGACATGTTTAGGTTGGCATCTGCAAAGAGTTGTATACTGTTCAATTGTTTCAAACTGGAAAATAGAGAATTCTTTGTATATTTTGTGGTTACTTAACATTCAAAAATGCAAGTATTTTGAACTCTCTAAATAAAACTTCATTTCATCCCTTTCCAAGTTAAGATTCATTCTTAATCTAGCAAACATCTGAGCATTTTGAATTCAAAAGTCTTAACTTTTATGCTTTAGAAATTATTCAAGCTTCAGAAAAGTAACCAAGTTTAGGAAGAATGCTCACACTGGCTACTCATTTTGCATTGCTTATTTACAAAAAAGATGCATCCAGTCAAGGAGGGCATGATCTTATAAGCAAAACAGAAGGTCTGGATCTGTTCTTGAGTGAAAGACTCTATATTCAGCCTGAAAAGAATTTGTCCAACCTTCCTAAGATAGACAGGTTTTGGGTAAAGATCTGAGTTTAATCCTCTTCTGAATCTCTGAAGAAGAACCTGAAGTTTAAACACTTGTAGTCTGTTTGGATTTGAAGCTCCACTACCAGTCCCTATCAGCCTCTGTGAATTTGTGTCTCATCTTATTTTCTGACAAAGTGATTTAATGGTAGTAAGGCTACTTGGGATATTCCCAAAGCTTTTCCATGCTTGTGTGATGGAGTCTGGCACACAAGGACAAGTAGTCCATATGTGTAGCCACAGTTGTAATCTTAGAGCCAGGGACACTCAAATGAGAAATAGGCAAGTGAATCACAAAACATGTAAGTCAAAGTCTAAATGAAAGATTACTTGGCAAGCATTACCAGGGGATCCAGAATCTAACCACAGGTTTCTGTCCTGAGCCTAGGAACACCAAACCATTTTCAAAGACATAGCAGTTATGAAGGGAGAATTTGTTTTCCTGCCTACCTGCTCCTTTGGCAGCCCACTGCAGGCCCCCCTCCAGCTGGACCCCGAGGCTGTGTCTCTAACATTAAGCGTAGCTCTGGCATGATGGATGGGTCAGAGGACCCTTTCTACCGCCAGCCCTTCCCTTGGCAGCCCCTTTGCAGCCCCGCCCTAAGTGGACCCATAGGCTTCATGTCTCTCTTAACTATAAATAAGCTGAGGTTTGTAATGAGAAAGTAGTGCTTTTGCTAAGGGAAGGGGAAAAAGCCTGCCAATTCAAAGTTTGAGGAGGTTAAGCAATTTTTTTGTGAACAGGTTTCCAACTGAGTGTTTTAACTCCCTCACTTATTTTCTTTGTCAGCTGCGGGCGGTGCACTCAGTTTTCTTTCAAGCTGGGTTTTTATATGGGAAGATCCTGGTTAAATATATGGTGTAAAGAGTTCTCTGGAGTCTCAAGCTGCTTTTTCTGATTCCAGTGCTCTCACATGTCTTCTTCCGGTGCCTTGTGATTCATGTATGAGCTCATCTACATTGAGCAGAGCTGCTGCAAGGAACAGTAAAAACTTTTTTTGGCATAAAGCAGTCAGAGTGAGTCAGCCATGCAACTGTGGACAGGATCAGTGACGGCCCGTGTGATAATTGCATACTGTAGTTAAGCAGAGGCGAAGAGGATGATGCATTAGTTCTTCTTGTGTTAGTTGTTCCCTCCTGAGACTGTTATTTTTGTGGGGTGGAGTGGAGAGAGATTGGAAGGGTTGGCAATATATCTGCTGCCAAGTTTCAAAAAAGTGACTACCAGCTGCCATCATCAAAGCAGCTACCGGATGTTGATCCCCTAATCCTGGCTAAACTCAATAGCAATAAAGGCAGTTATATTTTGTCTGCAGGACTATAGTTAGAAAAAAGTACAGTCAGAATCACTAGATTTGGATCTAAGGAATGCAGTGTTTATTTGGAGGAATCTTCAGAAGCCACAACAAGGTACTGCACCAGAGCCACAGTGCTGGGCTGCCAGATTTTGGCATTCAGGACAGTGATAAAAATAAAAGAGCTCTGTCTTGCTTTTCTGCCATGCATTCTTGCTGTTCCTTCAAGCAAACCAGGAGTTAGAACACAGTGAATACACTTACAAACAAAGTAAGCTGTGTTTGGGGTTCAGCAATGCTTATTGAGTAGTTTTGAGCATAGAGCCCATGGTAATGAATGGAAAATTTTGATCAGGACATCTGTGGTCTGCCTAAATCATTTCGTTGGATCTGCAATTCTTCCAGGAGCATCACTCAATGGCCCTATTAACCAGGGATGTTGGAGCCTTTCTTTGTTGTGTACGTTCTCCAAGCACACTCATGAAGTAGGAGTCATCAATTTTTATTGGATAGAAAGCTCCGAAATGGCTTATGCAAGGACATCTGAGCCCTTAAGTTTACCCTTCACATTTATCCTGCTTCACTGGAAAAAAAGTTCAATGAGTCTGTGCAGACAATGAGAAAATGAATGTTGAGAGCATTGAGTCAGACGCTGGACTTCACTTCTAGCAAACATACTTTCAGTTCCAGCTTAACTGTACTTAACTCACAGAAGCAAATAGTTTGGGAATTTTTTTATCTATAAATTGCAGCCATGGCAATTCTGTGATTCCAACCTATTTTCTTGATGTTGCTCATAAGTGTGTGGTTATCCAGGGGAATAGTCAGTTACTGGAGGATGATAATTTTATCCTCTCTTCCCTGTGTACTAGAGGTAAGAGGAGTCTTTTTAAAAGACTGTGAACATCACAATAATTGCCAGCCCAAGAACCATTGCATGCAGTGCTGCCCTGTAGGTGGCTGCTATAGAGGTACTGAATTTTCACTTTAATTCTTGTCCCTTTTGCTTTGTTTTCAAATATTCTGTTTTACAAGTCATACATGGTTGATAAAGTACTGTCTGAAATAATCCCAAAGGGGCTATTGGTCTGGTCTGGTCATACCTCCAGCCACAGCAGTGACATGTTGTAGAAACAAAGTTGTTCTCCTGCCTTTTCAGTTCTGTTTTGACTTTGCTCTGTAATAAAGAGAGCATGGTCATGGTACATTAAAGAACTGGGTAAGAGCAACGTATACATTACCATTACAGTGCTTCTAGCTAAAGCTCCAAAACTAATATAGTGGAGAAACCTGGCTAAGAATTTACTGACAATTTTCTTTTGCCATAAGTTTAGCATTAGAAAAAAAATCCAGAACAGCTGAAATGGCATAGCCTTTTGCTGAGTAAAAATAGACACATTTATAATATCAAAGAAGACTTAGGAAAATATCCCATCTGGATTTTGAAAAATGTAGGAGGCAACAGAGTAAAACAATTGTATTTCTGTTTATATTTGCCCTAGAAAATAGCCCACTTGGAAGAAATATTTAAGAGTATGAATGATTGAGAGATTATCTCTTAGAGGCAGCAGGTATAAGATATAAGTCTGAAATTCCTTTGAGTTATAATTGCTGGTTAACAACAGGATTTTTAGGTAATTATTTCTACCCACAATGCAAAGAAATTTTAATGCATATGTGGAGAAGTTTTTAGAATTCACCTTTTTATATGTTTACTTTGTAATAAAGAAAAGGCCATGGTATAATGAAAAAATGCCTAAAAGCAAATTTTTCTTTAATTACTATTCCAACAATAAAAAACGGAGAGCATTTTCTTAGAAAAATAAGATTTTCTATGTAAATGTTTGTTCTATTAATAACACTAAATACAACAGCAAGAAATCCATCTTTCTGACGGTAAACACTGAGTGTAGTGCTAAGAGGCAAGTGTAATTATTAACTCAGAAATATAATTCAGGATTTTTGTACTATGCAGTGATTTATACATTTTACATTTAACTTGTGACATAAAATATGTACGATATATATGAACCTAATCCAAGACCTAAATGCGAACAAGGAAGCTCCTACATTGTCTAAGTTTGTGGTACTTCTAAATTTTATATTTTGGGTCTTTGGTTCTAGATACCAATATGAAATTACTCAGTATCTATTCTTTCAGAAGCAGTAAGGATGCTGAAATCCCGCTGTCACAACATTGCTAAACAACCGTTCTTTTCAGGTCCTACAGTACTATAAGCATCATAAGCTGCTAGCAAAGGCAGACTTTTTAATAGCAGCCACTATTCATCCTTTTACTTAATGTGGTGTAATGACTTTTGTTTGATGACATGTTGAAATAAAGTAATGGCCTCTTTTTAAATGTAAATGCTGATTTTATCTATAGTCTATTTTTATTGTACTTTTCATAAATGTACTGCTGACGTGCATTAGAATAGAAGAAAATGTTTTAGGAATACTTGGTTTCATCCTAAACATTATTCAGATAATAAGTGACTATAACACACTGATAACCATTAAAATTCGAAATGTAACAGAGATCTGGCATTGCTTAGCTTGGTAACTCTCAGCCCCAAATGCACTCACAACTGCAGCGTCCTTAAAACATTGTTTCCGTCTGTTGCTGTCTTAGGAGTTGATTACTGCACAGATCTCTATGTATCAGAGTGCAAGTCACAGTAATTCTGCTCAAAGCCATAGCTTTAAGTGACTGCAGTGTTTATGGAAGATATTTGCCCACGGGCTATACTCAGAAGATTCTGAATTAAGTACTGATTAATTAACATCTGTGTGTCCTAGTTGCCCATATGACAAGAGGGTGAGGACAGGATATCGTGAGAAACAGAGACAGGGCTGTGCTTGGAAAAACTTTGTTTAGGATGTTGATCACTCAGCCTGAGTGCAGTCATCATTCAGCTTGTTTTATGAACTGACCCAGTCCAGTTATAGAGCACAATTAAATATTCCTGTTTATCATATAAGCTGGAGTCATGTTTTAGTTTAGAGAAAACTCTTTTATTATTGTTCACTGATAAAGTTATATTTGGTATGGAATCATGGGCTTATTTTGAAGATGTGATGACAACACTTATTCCGTGCCACTGTTGGAAGAGGAGAAACTCTCTTGATTAATAACACTTAGTTTTTTAATCTATGCATATTGCAAACATTCTATTCTTGTTTAATGTTATTTTAGTTTTTTTCATTGTGTATTTATCTTTAAAATAAATGTTAGCTAGATATGGCTCCAGAGAAAGTTAGCAAACATACATTTATTCATAGAACTTCTGTTTCAGAACAGACCTTAAGAACTACCATTAGTAAAATTTACTGCATTGAAAATTTTATAATCTCTGTTTCTCATCCTTCTGCTCAAAAACCTGGAAATGAAAAGTTTTTCTAATAA